AAAGCATTATTTAATTTACAAAATGTTCATTCTGGCAATACCAATAAAGGGGCAACGTCAGAGGATTCTGGGACAATGGTGGTGTCAGTGGCAGCACAGTTGTGGGATCTTCCCAAGTCCCTCAAAAAAACACAGAGCAGGCAGATAACAAAACAAAAACACAGGGACAATATATACACAAAACTAGGTGATAACCCAAATGCAAGTGTGTGGAGGAAAACCACCAACAGCCACACAACCCGCGTGTTGTCGGCCTCTGTGCAAAAAAAATCATGGGGCAGCAATGGGGTGCCCCACAGATCTGAGAAGAGCAGGCCAACATGAGGCCACAACGGAAACGGGAAGGGGCTTTGCCTTCTCCAACAGCAGGTGAGAACAGGGACTTGAAACGAAAAAGGTATGAAGGGGCTGGAGAAATCTAAACCCCAATACCCTAGAAACCAACCAGAGAGGACTCCCTTCTGAGACAGGCCCACACTGAGTGGAAATTCCAAGAAATGGAATCAAATCTGAGCAGGACAGAAATAAGATGGACAAAGGAATCAGACAGACCAAAAAAAAGCAGGTCAGGAAATCTGAGCAAGCCACCATGTTTCTGAACACTACCTGAAAAGGACAGAAGAGGGAGCTCTGTGAAGTTAGAAGAGCTTTATGAAGGAAGCCAGCTTCTGAAAGCTCGGTAAAACTAAATTCACATAAAGATAAGGGAGGGAGAAAAAAAAAAAAAAAAAAAAAAAAAATCAAGGCTCCAAAATTACTATGAGAAAAAAAGAGAATTCATCCCTGCAGACAGTACAAGAATGCTAGTAAGACCAGCTCCAAAGAAAGATAAAAACTATCACACACATTTCAAAAGACATTATTAAGAAAACAATACAAGTCAGGAAACATTATAAATCAGAACTTGAAAAACTCAAAAGTAAGGTGGCGGAAATCAAGAAGAAAAATAGAAATAAAAGGAAAAGTACTATAGAAACGAAGACTAACAAAGAAGCTAAGAGCAAATAAACATAATAATGTCCCCAAAGAAATAAAAGGTAAAAAGCAGAAAAATTTTAGCCTAAAAGAAATGAGTTAAGAAAAAAGGTTTGGAGAGAAACTGACAAATATCGAAGATAGGTAAATAAGATAAAGCATTTGGATAACAGGAGTCCCTGAAGGGAAAAACCAAAGCAAAGGAACAGAACAAATACTGAAGACTCTAAGTCAAGAAAACTTTCCTGGGGGGCGCGGGGGGAAGACCTGAAACCATATATTGAAAGAGCACATCACACACAGAAATACCAACTCAGAATAACCAACAATAGTCTAGTAAAATTACTACATTTTAAGAAAAAAAAATCTTATGAACATCTAGGCAAAAAGAACATATATTCTATAAGGAAAAGAAAATCAGATTTTTTCTGATCATCTGATTTTTTACAGCAACACTTTATGCCAGAAGAAAATGAAATATTTAGATACTCAAGGAAATACTGCAAGCCAAGAATTTTATATCCAGAAAAATTCACCTTTAAGTACAAAGGTCACAACAACCTATTGTCAATATAGAAGAACTTAGAGAATACAGTTCCCACGAGCCTTTCCTATTTGATTCCATCCCTTGGAACTGCTCCTCAGGGTGGGGCCTGTCCTGGAAGGGAGCCCTCTCTGGTTGGTTTCCAGAGTACTGGGGTCTAGAATCTACCAGAGAAGGAGCTTCAGATGGTCCAAGTGCCTTTTTTTCTTTTTAAACTGCTTTCAGTAATCATAATGGTGGTGATACTCTTAGTATTTTTAGTGTGAGACTATTGTATGTATACTGTGAAAAAGCAAATGAGATAGATTAGGATATTCTAATTCATCCTGAACTCCTGAGAACCAGGATTCTTGGTGTAAAACAAAGGAGACAGAGATGTATTATTAAAGAAGTTAGGTAAAAACTATACAGTCCTGAATTTGAACTGGAAAGATTAAGACAAAGTCACAAGGTATTATATCTTTAAATATATATGTATATTCTAGCCAAATTTACTGCAAAGTCTTAAAAACAATGATTGCTACGGTAACAATGAGCATCCCTAAGCACTCAGAGAGTGATCTAGAAACTCCATTTTCCATTAAAACAAACCAGAGCTTCTGAGAGAAGTGGCGGATTTGAGGTGTGGGGTTAGGGATGGGCCTGGGACACCTGGACATACATTCTGTTGCAAGGAAGCAACAGAAACAAGTAGTGTCACTTCGGAAGGACTCAGGAACTGAGAAGAGGTTCCCATTAACATAGACTGAATCCCCTGAGCTTTGAGAAAAGAATTGTAATAGATCGAAACCCATTCAGTTCAAAATGAAAGGGGGAAAAAACCTCCAAACGAAAAACTAATTGGTCACCTTCTGAGGAAGATTAAGAACCAATTCATTACTTTGAAAACTGGGTAAATAAAAGGAAAGAATCAAGCATTTACCCTGCTTTCCTATATGAACTATACTCCTGGGTAACTAAATAGTAGATAAGAGAGAGCATCACCTTAAAAATTTTACCAGCTGAAAACTGAAAACAAAATCATAGCATTTAATATCACCATTTTGAGACCCCCTAATGAGTTGCTGGATCTAGGTGCTGGGCATCAATAACTGCACAAATCAAAAATGAGCCAAGGGCTTCTCTGGTGGCGCAGTGGTTGAGAGTCCGCCTGCTGATGCAGGGGACACGGGTTCGTGCCCCGGTCCGGGAAGATCCCACGTGCCGCGGAGCGGCTGGGCCCGTGAGCCATGGCCGCTGGGCCTGCGCGTCCGGAGCCCGTGCTCCGCAACGGGAGAGGCCACAACAGTGAGAGGCCCGCGTATCGCAAAAAAAAAAAAAAAAAATGAGCCAAAAACCAGGCATCTTGACACCTTGTGCCTCCTGAGGGGAGACCAGAGCACGAGCTCTAGGCTTGTCAAAGGGATGGAATCTGAATCTAATCATGCTCTAGGATCCAGCTGCCAACTCGCAGGGAATCTGAAAGACAGAGTAGCAGGTTGGACTGGACCACGAGGGTGCAATCAGCAAACTCTGGACTTCTGGAAGCAACAGGTCAAAGACCAGGCTTCTTCAACAAGAAAAGGATGGAGGAGGAACCTGTAGATTAGGAAAGACTTAAAAGGCATATCAAGTTTTTAAAACTTGGAAGACTAAGCTCTAGCGTCTAGAGACGCACGCTTGAGTGATTAAAACCACAAAGAAAGGCAAGGAAGTGAGTTTTACTGGTTACTTGGAGAGGGAGGAGTGGATGGGGACTGGGATGGGGCACAGGGAAGAGACTGAGAAGCCTGGGAAAGTTCCATTTCTTGACAGTCACAGGGTGTTCACTCAGTAATAAACCTCCTAACTCAGTTCACTTTTTTTTTTTTAATGAATTTATTTATTTTTAATTTATTTATTTTTGGCTGCCTTGGGTCTTTGTTGCTGTGGGTGGGCTTTCTCTAGTTGTGGCAAGCGGGGGCTACTCTTTGTTGTGGTGTGCGGGCTTCTCATTGCAGTGGCTTCTCTTGTTGCAGAGCACGGGCTCTAGGCGCGTGGGCTCAGTAGTTGTGGTGCACGGGCTTAGTTGCTCCGCGGCATGTGGGATCTTCCTGGACCAGGGATCAAACCCGTGTCCCCTGCGTTGGCAGGCAGATTCCCAACCACTGTGCCACCAGGGAAGTCCCTCAATTCATTTTTTCACTTAATTGAACTCACTTAACTGCTCGTTTAGTGTGTTTTATAATACAAAGGTTTTTTTTTTTAAAGGGCAATGTGACCAATAATGCTGGAGATGGGGAGGGATGGATCAAATCCGCTTCTCCAAGAAAGGTTAAGACTCTCAGTTTAAGATTTGGGCATCAGGTCTAAACACTATTCCTTCCCCTTAGCAAAATGTGTCTGTAGCCATTCAAACGATCAATTTAGCAAGGCATGTTAAATGGAACAATTCCTTTTAATAGCAGCATATTTCTTTAATACACTTTGGCTGCCAAAATCATGAGATCACAGGAGGAGTTATCCTCAACCAAAAAGTCCATGAGGAAAAATGGGTAAACGTTTAAATGGCACAGTTCAGGAATTAATTTCCTTTTATGTAAAATAACTGTAATTAACAAAGCCTTCCAAACAATGTTTCAAAGTCTGGTTCAGTGCACAGAAAACCAAGAGGGGGATAACCAGAGTGCAGTTCTCGCAGCTCTCCACCTGCCAGGTGTGAGGCTGCCTGAGGGACGACCTGCCTCACTCCAGGCATGACTTCAGGGCTCCCTGCCTGCGCTCTTGCTCAGTCTTTGCAGCAGATGTTGGGCTAGGATTAAAAATGGATCCAAACTCATAATTACATTTGAAGGCTAAGAAGAACATAATCAAGAACAAGAAGCTTCACATTCACAAGTACTCCGAAGCCTGGTTTCATACATAACCTACCTTTGGAATCTAAACTGGGGAACATACAGAACTTACTTTAACAACCTTTCAAATTAGTTATTTGTACATCTGCATAAGAACGACTTCGTTAACCAGGGTCCACTAGACATTAGCTTGGAAATAAGCACCTACAAAAACTCTTTATTATCTTTCAATATCTGTTTCATATCCCATCTATCTATATAAACTTTGGCATCGTATTTCACTGTAATATGCAATTCATGCTAGCAATTTTTTCTCTCCTTTTTTAGAGGGGAGGGAGGTCATGTGGTGCAATGGCATTCACAGAATTATTTGAAAGTCACTTTACTTTCCCTAAAATCTTCCCATCAAGCAGATGTGTCAACTGTTAACAAGGATGCGCACACACACAAGCAAAAGAAGAAAAAAGACAAGAGAGTACAACTCCTTGATATAAACTTGTAAAACGGCTTATCTGCAGTTAAACTTCAGTGTTGCTAAATTCTTGTATAGTCCAATGGACAATCAAAGCTCTATGATTTTCTGCGTTTCAAGCCTCCACACACACACTCTTTGAAGGCAGTAGGTGAGTGTCGCTGGCCTGTGTGCCCGCCACACCGAGGGAACTTACCATAACCGTGCAGTCCTCTGAGCCGCTGGCAATGACCTGATCATTATGTGGGCACCAGTCTATGTCCAGCACTGGTCCTGTGTGACCACACACTGTGGGGTAGGATTTGTCAATTCGACCAGTCTGAAAGGAGAGAGAAACAGACATATTATGTAACATCAATGCCACAGAGTTTTTATGTTTTGTCAGACCCACTTCTCCTTTATTACTTCTACCCCAAACTCTCAAGAATCTACAAATTATGACGTTCATATCAGCCAACGTCAACTGTTAAGAAATGTCAACTTGCATTTCTAGAAAGCTACTACCAAGGATACTCCATCAAATTAAGGATCTACATTTCCAGAACCACAGAGATTTTATTTAATCAACAGCATTAATAGACACAGCAAAAGAGAATACAAGAGTCTTTTTACCACAATACAATTCTAACAATAGCCTATTGTAAATTATAGGTGTGTTTTTACTGTTTTAAAAAAAAACAAACCTGGTATTATTCAAAATGTAAAATATAACCTTTAATATGATAAGCTAATGCCCTTGAATATACAAATTAACAGTTCTGGAAGTGGATGGCACTTCCAGGGAGCAAGCAAAGTGAAGGTAATAAAAAGAAAAGCTTTATCCACTGCTGAGCAGCCGAAGGACATAGTACGTTTCAATGTCTTGGTCTCTTCCGTCAACAGAAACGCCAGCCGGGCCTTCTAATTAACCACCTTAGCTCTCAGCCATTACCCAGATCCACATCTCATTAAGAACACAACTTCTAATGTTGGTCATAGCAACCATCACAACGTGCTCATGTTACACACTTGAACCTAACAAGCCAATCTGGCTTATCGGACCAATTTTGTCTGGTGTCAACCAAGACAAATGCTATTACAACAACAGCTGTACAAAGGCTGCTTCTTTTTAAAAAGGTTAATGCCAGTCCTTGCTGATGTTCTTCTACATATGCTAAACAGCAGGTGAACAGAAAGGAATCACCACAATGCAAAAGTGAACCTATTTTTTGGTTGATGCTACTCTCCTGCTATGGCCAGCTGTCACAACACAGGGGCAGGCTTCTTGGAAAATTTTCAACATCAGTAAATTTGGATTTCTCCACTTTGACTTGACTGTGGAAATCTCCAGAGAAGCAGTGTGCTAAAGCACAAAGACCACAGGCTCCAGAGTCAGACAGATATGGATTCAAGTCCAGGCTCTCTTGGTTAAACAGTGTGTGATCTCAGACAGGTAATCTCTCTAAGCTTCAGCTTGTCATCTGTAAAATGAGTAACAGTAATACTTACCTCCCAGGATTACCGTGAGGAGTAAATGAGAAATGAGGTAAATCATAACCTAGCATTACAACCATCTGTATAAGGTGTGTAAAAAATTCATTAGAGTACCCAGAATACAGTAAATACTCAATAAAAAGCTGGCACTTATTATTAGTTCTTCCTGTATAATGTTAACTTACTCAATCATTACAGAATTACAAGCGTGTGTTATCCGTCAACTCTGGGCCAGACACTGAGCTGAGTGTTGGAGACACAGAGGTGAGCAGGGCGCCCTCCACGTCCTGGCTGAGCGTGGAGTCCATCTAAAGCTCCAGTTACAGCGCAGCACAAGACGTGCAGCACCAGGACAGGCCCAAGGCGGCAGGAACACAGAAGAAGGACATTCAAGCAGCTGTGCGGGGGGCTCCAGCCTTTGGGAAGGTTTTCTGCGCAGAAAGGTGAGTTGAGTTGAGGTGTGAAGGTGCACCAGCCTACGGACCTGAGGCCTGGGTTTTTTCACATGCTCCCCCATTCTCTTGCAAAACTAGTTCAACCCAGAGTTTCGGTCTCCGGAATTGCATCACCAAAAACAGGAATTCATAAACGAAAATGCCAAGGAAGAAACACAATATTACAGAGAACCTGGGTCTTGTACGAGAAGCCACGTGGGTCACTGACAGGCCGAGAAGCAGTGAGGGTCAGGGACCAGGCTGCCAGGGCTGGGGTGTGGCGCTGCCATTTTCTCCCCTGAGGCTCTGGCCAAATTACTTCATCTGGCGACCTCAGTTTCTCACCTGTAAAACGAGAACGCTAGAATTCTTTCTTCAAGAGCTGATGTGAGAATTAACTGAGACAATCAAGGCAAAGCACTTGGTACCACCCCAGCACCTCTAGTGCTCAAAAAATATTACCCAAAATTTAACAACTGCCAGAATCCATTCTACCAACACCCCTGACTGCATCCTTCCATAAAGAAGGAGCTGCTACTAAGCACCCAAGCCAGGTAGTTTTACCTAATTCCCCCGTGAGTGCTCCTCCCCTGGAGTTCCTACCCCACGTAATGGTCTACTACTCAAGGTGCTGGAGGTGAACTCACAGGTGTTTTGTTTTCTAATATTATTACTGTTTTATTATGCATTATTATTATTTAAACTATAGATATAGTTACTCTCTTGAATGTGTGATATTTAGTAATTTAAAACATTCTGAGACACAAAGGCCAGGTTGAGGTCTGACACACATCGCAACAGACATTCCAGAAGGAGAAAATGCAAGAGAAACAAAAAACTGAAGAGATGAGGGCCGAGGATTTTCCAAGTTTAACTGAGGGCATGAGTCTTCAGATTGAAGAGGCACAGGTCCCAAGTAGAATATCCTAGTGCAACACAGAACACCTAAAACAAAGATAAGATCTCAAACAAAAGCAGCCAGAGAAAAGACAGATTACCTACAGAGAGAATAACTAGACTAGCTGTGAGCAGACTTCTCAAAGGCAAGTACAGAAACAAAGACATCAGAAACTATCTCAGAAATGGGAAGAAAAACAACCACCTGTGCATTCTATGCCCAGATAAACTATCATCCAAAAGTGATGACCAAACAAACAAACAAAAACCCCAACATTTTTAAGCAAAAAGATACAGAAAATTTACCATTTAAAGACTCTTATTCAAAGAATTAAGTTCTTGGACTTATCTCAAAGAATTTCAAAATTAATTTCAAAGAACTAAGTTCAAGGACTTATTTCAGGAAAAGAAAGTGAACCAGAAGAACGAACTGGGATATCAAAACAAGAAGTGAGCAAAAGAATTGGTAAATGTGGTCAATGTAAATAGGCATTGACTGTATAGAACAGTAGTAATTATGACTAACTGGAGTACAGGTAAGACAAGGCAGAACTAAAACACTAAACAACAATAACATGTAAGATAGAAAGATATGATCAGAATTCAAAGGGTTCAGGGCGCTTCCCTAGAAAAAGGCAGAAAATTTGACTAGTTTTAGACTTTAAGTCATGTAAGTATGTTAAAATTAAGGGTAAACACTAAAAGAGAATATATAACTTGCAAAAAGTGTATGGAGTGGTAGGAAGGTTAGTGGAATTTTAAAAACTCATTCAATATAAGAGAAAGAGGAAATAAAAAGAAAAAAAGGCAAGAAAAAGCATGAAAACTAGAAAGCACAAAATAAGATGGTGGAAATAAAACCAACCATAAATCACAAACTGCGGTAAATATGAATGACTTAAACTCACCCACTAAAAGATGAGGTGTTTCAGATCAGATTAAAACCAGCTATAAGACACATTTACAAAATAATAATACAAAAAGGCAACTAAAGGAGGGGAAGGGATATAAAAATATGTACCAGGTGGTTATACTAGAACAAATAGATTTTAAGGGGAAATGCATTATTTAAGATTACATTTTAACATTTAAAGAAACAATTCAGAGAAAAGCTATAGTCACTATGGACTTTAACTCATCTAACTACCTATGCTTCAAAATAATTAAAGCAGAAATTGACAGAAGTACAAGGAGAAAAGGACAAAACCATAATCTTAAGAGATTCTAATAAAGATTTAAGAGATCAAACAGACAAAAATCAGTATGAATATAAACGGCTTTAACAAAAGTAACAAGCTTGATCTAACGGATATGTACAACTTGTAGCCAACATTTTATTTTATTTTTTATTTTTATTTATTTTTTTTTTTTGCGGTACACGGGCCTCTCACTGCTGTGGCCTCTCCTGTTGCGGAGCACAGGCTCCGGACGCGCAGGCTCAGCGGCCATGGCTCATGGGCCCAGCCACTCCGCGGCATGTGGAATCTTCCCGGACCGGGGCACAAACCGGCGTCCCCTGCATCGCAACCACTGCGCCACCAGGGAAGCCCATAGCCAACATTTTAAAACACACATTTTTTTTGTTTCCAAGCACACTAATAAACGTTTTTTTTTAATCACCAATTAGAATACCACAAAGCAAATCTCAAAAACTACCAAGGAATCAATATTGTACAGAACATGTTCTGAGTACAACGCAATACAATTAAAAATTAACAGAAAAATATAAGCCAAAAATCTCCAATGCATCTGAAAAGTTTTTGTTTTTTTTTTAAAGTGTTTGCCAACCTATCCAAGTCCTCGACACCACTCCTACCCTTCCTACCGCACCAGGAACATAAACGGTATCAGGCTGCTGCTGCTGCTGCTTCTTTTTTTTTTTTTAAAAACTTATTTATTTATTTATTTTTGGCTGCGTTGGGTCTTCGTTGCTGAGCGCGGGCTTTCTCTAGTTGTGGTGAGCAGGGGCTTCTTCGTTGTGGTGGCTTTTCTTGTTGCAGAGCACAGGCTCTAGGTGCACAGGCTTCAGTAGCTGTGGCATGCGGGCTCAGCAGTTGTGGCTCACGGGCTCTACAGCACAGGCTCAGTAGTCGTGGCTCACCGGCTTAGGTGCTCCACGGCATGTGGGATCTTCCCAGACCAGGGCTCGAACCCGTGTCCCCTGCATTGGCAGGCGGATTCTTAACCACTGCACCACCAGGGAAGTCCCTGAAATTTTTTTAATTTACTAAATAATTCACATAGAAAGTCATAATAGCCAATAGAAAAAGGTTAAAATTGGTCAGTAAATACATGCCATATCAAAACTTGTGGGATATAGCTAAAACAAATCTTAAAATTCCAGATGAAATAAGCAAGCTCCTAGAAAATGTGTGATGTATCAAAACTCCTTCAATAAACAGAAAACCTAAAGAGACCCAGAACCATAAAAGAACCAGTACTGTGGGCTTCCCTGGTGGTGCAGTGGTTAAGAATCCGCCTGCCAATGCAGGGGACACAGGTTCAAGCCCTGGTC